TGAAGCGCAGCCGGGCGCTGGGAGGAGGAGGATGAGGAGGGCAGCCGGAGAAGGAGTTGTGTCCGCCAAAGCAGAGGGGCAGCCCAGCTCAAGGGACACGAGGGATTATAGCTGGCGAGTTTCGACCCCCGCTGATATTGCTCCGGAGGAAATAGGGAACAGCGCACGGAAACCGGTGGCAGAACTTGGGCTGTACAGGGCCAAGTGGGTGGGGTGGGGGTTTTGTGGTTGTGTTTTCCACGGACCACTCGACGGGGCGGGGCGGGAGTAGAGCGGGATTCTCTGGGTCAGACACCATCGGGACACTTGAGCCTTCATAACGCCCGCGTTAGCAATGGTTTTGAGTCACAACAAGTGATTGCAAGTATAACGACAGGTGAAATACTATTTTAAAAGGGTGCGTCATGCTCTGTGGATGTGGCAGGGTTACATTCTTCGTCAACAGCAACATATCAAGTGACTTCTTCCATGCGAGAGTACTTGAAATTAGGAGACTAGACCAACATAGACCAAATCCTTTTTGTCTTAATTGCCTGTAGGGTTATGTGGAAACAGCTGGTGGTCATCCATAGGGAATGTAGATAAAACTATTGATGGGGATTTCCATACTTGCATCTGAGTCCAGCTGCTGTGAGATGCTGGCCGTCCCTATTGCCACAGTCAGATATGTTTTGCAATGGCTTGTCTCAGTTGCCAGCCCTCCACAATTAGTGGGCTGTAGTAGTCCAAAATCTGCTTTGTCCAAGTAGAATAGCTTTACAAAAAAATTAGAACCATTTAAAAACCATCTTCCAAGATATATTTGATGCCTTTGCAGATGTGGTATTTAATGGTCTAAGCATTTAAACGCAGGAGAATGAAGACAAATTCTCACACTATCCCTAACAAAAGCATTAATAGAAAGATGGGAAGATGTTAGTGTGGTGCGGCCACCTTAACCCTGACCCAAGTCATCTTGAGGCCTTTTTGTGCGTAGCTTCCCACTCCTGCCTGTGTCACCAACGTTGCAGGGGTGTTTGGCAGGTAGGAAACACGAGTTGTACTCGAGTTAGAAGGCTTGGATTATGCAGGAGCTGGTGTAGGCATCTCTGAAATGAAAAACATATTTGTCAGTTCACAGTTGGGTTTATGAATGCTACACGTAATTACCATTTGAAAATTAAATAGAAAACTGATAGATGTAAGCTAGGGTAGGTTTTAGATGTGAGACAGAGTACGAAATACGTTGAGTAATTGCTGCCAGTAGGTTCGTTTAAAAACTTATGTGTTGGATATAGAAGAAACTGTGTGCACAGCCTTGGACTATACTTAAGATTAGGTTAAAAATTACTGCTTTGTAAATGTTTGTATTCTGTGTTCAGTCTAAGGTTCTTTACTACATGCACATTCTCCAGTAATTTCATTTTTTAAAGCACATTTACCTTTTCAGATACTAAAATTACGTGGCACAGTTAACTGCATCATTGATTGTCACCTTACCTGTTTCTTGCGTTGTATGTTGGTTTTGAACAAAGATCCTGGATTCTTAAGGGGTTCTCTCCCTTTTTGGGGAAAGGTAAAGGAAAAAAATGAAACAGTTATTTTATAATATTCAGTAGAATGGGTGGATCAACAGGTTTATACAAAATGATGTTGCCTGAGTCAATAGTTAACTCTTCCAAAACCATTCCTGATGCAGCTGTGCATGCTCACTTTCGCTTAGATACAAAGTGTAGAAGTAGGAAATCCTCAAGTGGTTATTTTTGTCTAGTAAGGTAACAGGTCAGTTTTACAGTGGAGTCTGCATCATAGACTTCTTCAGAAGTATTTTTTTTAATTGATGGTGTGGGGTTTTTTCTTACAGTCCTTTAAACTCCTAGGATTTCTTGATGTTAAAAGTGTCCCATGTGCACGAGAATCGGTGCTCTATGGCTCCGTGGGATCCTTTGTTGTGGGTCTTGGACATTTTTTAGCAACTAGTAAGTACTTATTCCTTCCAAGTTTTTTATATTTATTTGCAAGGAAAAATCAATTCCTGTTTGCTATTGGGTTTTATTAATAATGTGAAGTCATCCGAGGTTTTCTCTGATTTTTTTTTTGACGATTTCTTTTCTTTCAGGTAGAGTTCGAAGATCTTGTGACTTTGCAGTCGGTGGCTTTATTTGCACAACGTTAGGATACTGGTATGTAAAGCACTTCTTGAATTTTGACAGACCTGTGCCGGCTGCTTTGTACAACATGATCCCCGTGTGACCTTTCACACTGGTTTTGAAACTCAGTAAAAAACTTGCCTAGCAAAATGTCCTCTTCATTCTCCTCAAAATATTTCTTGTTTTAAAGGAGAAGAGTTCAACACCTTTGAATTTTTATGGGTTTTTTGGTTTGGTTTTTTTTTTAAACGTGCTATTGTTTCTTGAATCTGGAGAGCTCAAACCACCCAGTTATTTCTTTCTTCTTTCTTTGTTCCTTCCTAATTGCAAAGGCAGTGTACTAAATGGTCATGAAATTAGGATCCAAATTACAGAAATTAGTATTTTCTATTGGACTTGTATATCCTGCTCCTCAGTGGCTGTGTAATATTTGCCTTAAAGAAATAGCAGTTACGTTAGTATTTCCTTATGCATCATTTCGTGATGAATGTTACGAGCATTATTTGTATGTGGTTTCAACTTTTTTTAATTTGGTACTGTTGCTCATCTAAAACAGGGAACTGTGTTTTCTTTTCATCCCCTCTTCCAGGTTTTACTGCAGATACAATTTGGCCCAACACAGGATCCGGCAGAGGATGCTTAAAGAAGGAATGAGAAACAAACTTTTATTTGAAGGCACCTCTCTCGATCCAGAAAGCAAACAAACGGGCCATGAAAGCAGCAATTCATAGTCTGCTGCAGAGCAATCTGTGGTCTAACACAGCTCTGGGAGAAGGTGGTCCAAAAATGGCAGTCCTCCCCAGGAATGTGCGAGGTGCCTCCAACTGATAAATCATGCTGGTTTTCCTAGCAAACCCGAGTAAAAAATTCATAGTGAATCTGTGAAGTCAGTGCACAAGCCTGCCTTTGTTCCATATATATGTATATGTGTATATGTATGTGTGTATGATTATGACTCTGTACACAGGAGTGACCTGTTGAACATCTGGGAACTGATGTGTTCTGTTACTGGGTCTTGCAGGATTAATTACAGTGTTTTGGGACTGCTGTCACTTCCATTATAAACAGAAAGGTTCATTTTAGCAAAGCTGGAATTGCATCTCATTTAAATAGAGGAAAATATTTGCATCAGCTGTTCTGAGTAAATGCATCCTTCAGTGCTGCTGTTAATGGTGCTGCTTGTAACCCAGGAATATTTAAACAGTAAGTGAAGGCTGTGCTTGTGCAAGGTGGGTGTTATCAGTAGTCTTTGAGATTTCAGCTGCAGAGTAAGTTCAGATAATTTATGTACACTGTGAAGCTGAAGGATTGCCATTTTTGTTCTGTCTGTGCAAAACACAATAAAATCACTTCAGAAGCAGTCTAAGCGGTGTATGTAGCTTATTTTTTCACTTGATTAAAAATCTTGCTCTTCCATTTAAGACATTTCCTTGCCATTGCTGTAATAATAATTTATGTTATTTGTAAGGAGCAATGGTCAGTAGATTTTTGGTTTGTTTTTTTTTTTTTCAAGTGGTGGTGTATATCTCACTGTACCTTTTCAGTTAAAAGAGAGACCAGTAGTTTCAAGGAAACCATCTTATTTGGAAGGACAGTGTTAGACCTAAATTCATATTGGCAAAAAGATGAGTGATGCACTTCGGTTGCAATAACCCCATGCAGC